CATGTTGTCCATTCTTGTACCAGATGTAGGAGGGGTTACCAATCAGATTGCAAGTGGTGCAACAGGTCAGTTTATTCCGATAGTACCTCACTGTCACCTTAACCTGCAGGTCTGTGACAGAGAGGGCGACTCCACCGGAGTCATCTTTCCAACCCGAGTTGTATGTTTTATATCTGAAGTGATATGTTGCGTTGTCGCCGTTTTCCCACATCTGTGATTCACAGGGTGCAGTCCCTCTGTCTAGTCCCACGGTACTCCACACGACCTGCATACTGTCGATCCTGTTTCAGATCAGAAGGTCCAACCTTCACCCATTTATTACACCAGACTTTTTCTGTGACTCGGCTCCAACTGGGATTAGTAAGAGGACAGGGCAGATCCACTGATGACCCCTTCAAGACACAGATACTCCTCACATCGTTTTGCCCCAGAACACATTGCCACGGAGAAGAGAGCGACTACAAGTCCTGCTGTTCTCGAGGCCATTGTTGCATCACCCACGGCGCAGTAGGTTGAAGTGGTGAGGTCTTGGAAGTCTTACTGACAGTGCATTGGGGAGCAGACAGTAGTTGACTGCAAGTGTTTAAAGTATCAGGGTAGGGGATGAAGCTTCTATAGAGCTGGCCACAAACAGGCAAATACCGGCGCAGTACAACAGTGGTGCGCAGAACGGCATCACGGAACGCACAACTCGTCGGTCCTTGTCACGGATGGGCTATTGCAGCAGACGTCCACACCGGGTTCCACTCCTATCAGCTAAAAACAAGAAGCAGCAGCTCCAGTGGACAGGCCATCACCAACACTGGACAAGTGAGGAGTTGAAAAACATCACCTGGTCTGATGAATCCCTGTTCCTGTTGTGTCGTGCTGATGGCAGAGTCAGGATTTGGCGTAAGCAGCATGAGTCCATGGCCCCATCCTGCCTGGTGTCAACGGTACAGGCTGGTGGCGGTGGTGTAATGGTTTGGGGAATGTTTCCCTGGCACACGTTAGGTCCCTTGATACCAATTGAGCAACGTTTGAACTCCACAGCGTATCTGAACATACAATCCATGCCCCGAAATATTCAGGCTGTTCTGGAGGGAAAGGGGGGACCGACCCGGTACGTAATAAACTGGTCCACTGAGTGTAAATTATGTATTTTGTTGCTTTCAGACAATGCATTTGTGCATTTTTAAAAAAATCTTTGCCATATTGTTCTTTCTCATGATAGGCACGCTTGTTTACTTATTCTATTACAAACTATTGATGATGACCGTTTGGATATAGTTCAGTGTAAATTATATGCATGTTGTAAATTAGCTCAAAGTTAAATGTTCGAAATATACAAAAAATTAAGAGTTTTCACCAGTGCAATGTCCATTTGTGAAAAAAAAACAGTTATCTTCCAAGAAACCGTTATACAGTGAGGGAAAAAATTATTTGATCCCCTGCTGATTTTGTACGTTTGCCCACTGACAAAGAAATGATCAGTCTATAATTTTAATGGTAGGTTTATTTGAACAGTGAGAGACAGAATAACAACAAAATAATCCAGAAAAACGCATGTCAAAAATGTTATAAATTGATTTGCATTTGAATGAGGGAAATAAGTATTTGACCCCCTCTCAATCAGAAAGATTTCTTGCTCCCAGGTGTCTTTTATACAGGTAATGACCTGAGATTAGGAGCACACTCTTAAAGGGAGTGCTCCACTAATCTCAGTTTGTTACCTGTATAAAAGAAACCTGTCCACAGAAGCAATCAATCAATCAGATTCCAAACTCTCCACCATGGCCAAAACCAAAGAGCTCTCCAAGGATGTCAGGGACAAGATTGTAGACCTACACAAGGCTGGAATGGGCTACAAGACCATCGCCAAGCAATTTGCTGAGAAGGTGACAACAGTTGGTGCGATTATTCGCAAATGGAAGAAACACAAAAGTACTGTCAATCTCCCTCGGCCTGGCGCTCCATGCAAGATCTCACCTCGTGGAGTTGCAATGATCATGAGAACGGTGAGGAATCAGCCCAGAACTACACGGGAGGATCTTGTCAATGATCTCAAGGCAGCTGGGACCATAGTCACCCCAACAAAAAAAAATTGGTAACACACTACGCTGTGAAGGACTGAAATCCTGCAGCGCCCGCAAGGTCCTCCTGCTCAAGAAAGCACATATACAGTGGGGAAAAAAAGTATTTAGTCAGCCACCAATTGTGCAAGTTCTCCCAATTAAAAAGATGAGAGAGGCCTGTAATTTTCATCATAGGTACACGTCAACAATGACAGACAAATTGAGAAAAAAAAATCCAGAAAATCACATTGTAGGATTTTTAATGAATTTATTTGCAAATTATGGTGGAAAATAAGTATTTGGTCACCTACAAACAAGCAAGATTTCTGGCTCTCATAGACCTGTAACTTCTTATTTAAGAGGCTCCTCTGTCCTCCACTCGTTACCTGTATTAATGGCACCTGTTTGAACTTGTTATCAGTATAAAGACACCTGTCCACAACCTCAAACAGTCACACTCCAAACTCCACTATGGCCAAGACCAAAGAGCTGTCAAAAGACACCAGAAAAAAATTGTAGACCTGCACCAGGCTGGGAAGACTGAATCTGCAATAGGTAAGCAGCTTGGTTTGAAGAAATCAACTGTGGGAGCAATTATTAGGAAATGGAAGACATACAAGACCACTGATAATCTCCCTCGATCTGGGGCTCCACGCAAGATCTCACCCCGTGGGGTCAAAATGATCACAAGAACGGTGAGCAAAAATCCCAGAACCACACGGGGGGACCTAGTGAATGACCTGCAGAGAGCTGGGACCAAAGTAACAAAGCCTACCATCAGTAACACACTACGCCGCCAGGGACTCAAATCCTACAGTGCAGACGTGTCCCCCTGCTTAAGCCAGTACATGTCCAGGCCCGTCTGAAGTTTGCTAGAGTGCATTTGGATGATCCAGAAGAGGATTGGGAGAATGTCATATGGTCAGATGAAACCAAAATAGAACTTTTTGGTAAAACTCAACTCGTCGTGTTTGGAGGACAAAGAATGCTGAGTTGCATCCAAAGAACACCATACCTACTGTGAAGCATGGGGGTGGAAACATCATGCTTTGGGGCTGTTTTTCTGCAAAGGGACCAGGACGACTGATCCGTGTAAAGGAAAGAATGAATGGGGCCATGTATCGTGAGATTTTGAGTGAAAAACCTCCTTCCATCAGCAAGGGCATTGAAGATGAAACGTGGCTTGGTCTTTCAGCATGACAATGATCCCAAACACACCGCCCGGGCAACGAAGGAGTGGCTTTGTAAGAAGCATTTCAAGGTCCTGGAGTGGCCTAGCCAGTCTCCAGATCTCAACCCCATAGAACATCTTTGGAGGGAGTTGAAAGTCCGTGTTGCCCAGCGACAGCCCCAAAACATCACTGCTCTAGAGGAGATCAGCATGAAGGATGGGCCAAAATACCAGCAACAGTGTGTGAAAACCTTGTGAAGACTTACAGAAAACGTTTGACCTGTGTCATTGCCAACAAAGGGTATGTAACAAAGTATTGAGAAACTTTTGTTATTGACCAAATACTTATTTTCCACCATAATTTGCAAATAAATTCATTAAAAATCCTAGAATGTGATTTTCTTGAAAAAAAATGCTCAATTTGTCTGTCATAGTTGACGTCTACCTATGAAGAAAATTACAGGCCTCTCTCATCTTTTTAAGTTGGAGAACTTGCACAATTGGTGGCTGACTAAATACTTTTTTTCCCCACTGTACATGCCCGTCTGAAGTTTGCCAATGAACATCTGAATGATTCAGAGGATAACTGGGTGAAAGTGTTGTGGTCAGATGAGACCAAAATTGAGCTCTTTGGCATCAACTCAACTCGCCGTGTTTGGAGGAGGAGGAATGCTGCTGCTATGACCCCAAGAACACCATCCCCACCGTCAAACATGGAGGTGGAAACATTATGCTTTGGGAGTGTTTTTCTGCTAAGGGGACAGGACAACTTCACCGCATCAAAGGGACGATGGATGGGGCCATGTACCGTCAAATCTTGGGTGAGAACCTCCTTCCCTCAGCCAGGGCATTGAAAATGGGTCGTGGATGGGTATTCCAGAATGACAATGACCCAAAACACACGGCCAAGGTAACAAAGGAGTGGCTCAAGAAGAAGCACATTAAGGTCCTGGAGTGGCCTAGCCAGTCTCCAGACCTTAATCCCATAGAAAATCTGTGGAGGGAGCTGAAGGTTCGAGTTGCCAAACATCAGCCTCGAAACCTTAATGACTTGGAGAAGATCTGCAAAGAGGAGTGGGACAAAATTCCTCCTGAGATGTGTGCAAACCTGGTGGCCAACTACAAGAAACGTCTGACCTATGTGATTGCCAAGAAGGGTTTTGCCATCAAGTACTAAGTCATGTTTTGCAGAGGGGTCAAATACTTATTTCCCTCATTAAAATGCAAATACATTTATAACATTTTTGACATGCGTTTTTTGGGATTTTTTTGTTGTTATTCTGTCTCTCACTGTTCAAATAAACCTACCATTAAAATTATAGACTGATCATTTCTTTGTCAGTGGGCAAATGTACAAAATCAGCAGGGGATCAAATACTTTTTTCCCTCACTGTATCTTCCAAGAAACCGTTATATCTTCAAAGAAACCGTTATGATATCTTCCAAGAAACCGTGATATCTTCCAAGAAACTGTTATGATATCTTCTAAGAAACAGGTATGATATCTTCTAAGAAACAGTTATGATATCTTCTAAGAAACTGTTATGATATCTTCTGAGAAACTGTTATGATATCTTCTAAGAAACTGTTATGATATCTTCTAAGAAACAGTTATGATATCTTCTAAGAAACAGTTATGATATCTTCTAAGAAACAGTTATGATATCTTCTGAGAAACTGTTATGATATCTTCTAAGAAACTGTTATGATATCTTCTTGCACATTCAAAGAAATAGCCACGTTTGTTGCAACAATCTGGATGGGTTTTCTGACAGGACTCTGTCATCTACGAGAGACTGGCGGACAGCTCCAAGTACAGAAACATCACTCTTAACCACCTGGAGCAGTTTGCTACAGAGGGTGAGCTATCATTACACTGTTCTCTCACGCATTCCAATGGTGTTGTTATGGAGTAGGACTATCTAGCCAATGAACCTTTTTACATACAAGTATAGTGTTGTTGTTTAACGTTGTCATAAGTATCTGGTTATACTGGCTTTGTGTAGATCTGAGAGGATCTGATGGGGTTAACCTATTTGGTAGTAGCTCCATCTTGCTCTCTGATAGGCTGGGCAGAATTTTCACCATGTTTCTTATACTTATCCAATCCTCTCAGATCTATTCAAGTAGGGGGCGGGGCTTGTATCTGTACAGGAGCATTGTATCATCTCTCTCTCTCTCTCTCTCTCTCTCTCTCTCTCTGTCTGTGTGTCTCTCTCTCTCGCTGTGTGTGTGTCTCTCTCTGTGTGTGTGTGTCTCTCTCTTTCTCTCTGTCTCTCTCTCTCTTGCTGTGTGTGTTTTGTCAGGACTAAGGACGTTGTGTTACACTGTGGCCAACATCTCAGATGAGTCATACGAGCAGTGGGCCGAGTTGTACCAGAGAGCCACCACATCCCTAACCAACCGAGCTCTGAAAATGGAGGAGAGTTACGAGCTCATCGAGAGGGTAAACGATAGGAAAACTCATCTTTACAATAAAATAAAGACACACACCGTAGACCTAGAACTTGTTTTTCCAAAGGATCCCTGCCCTCTGGCTGTCAGAAAATACTATCATAAAGCGACAGTATTTCCCATGATGAGATAGTACAAAATACATTCTTTCAAGTTTTCAGGATTTTGATTCTAAATGTAGCTACAATTTGGCATTGGTGTAGCCTGGCTCCATATCTTTATGTGCTTGATTAAGCTTGACGGAGTGCAGGGTGGGAAGAATTTGCACTTCTGCCACTGCTCCATTGGTTCCGTTGTACCAGGTAAGCTATATCAAGTGCACCTCAAGTATTTGAAAGTATTTTACTTGTATTTCTTTCCAGAACCTGCAGTTGCTTGGTGCCACAGCCATAGAGGACAAGCTACAAGACAAAGTCCCCGAAACCATAGAGACTCTGCTCAGAGCTGACATCAAGATCTGGATCCTCACCGGAGACAAGCAGGAGACTGCCATCAATATAGGTGAGGAGACAGGCTGACTGACTGGCTGGCTGACTGGCTGACTGACTGACTGACTGGCTGACTGGCTGACTGGCTGACTGACTGGCTGACTGGCTGACTGACTGACTGACTGACTGACTGGCTGACTGACTGGCTGACTGACTGACTAGCTGACTGACTGACTAGCTGACTGGCTGACTGACTGACTGACTGACTGACTGACTGACTGACTGGCTGGCTGGCTGACTGACTGGCTGACTGACTGGCTGACTGGCTGGCACCACTCACACACCTCCACCTGCAAATACACGCTAAAAGTGCTCAGACCCACTTGGGTCCACTATAGATCAGTACCGTCAAATGAAATCCTTCTTGCCCTCTGCCTCTCAAGGTCACTCGTGTAGGCTGCTGAGGAAGAACATGGGGCTGTTGGTCGTGAACGAGGAGACACTGGAAGTAAGTATCAATCCCGACCTCTCCCTCCTGTTGTCAACAACGGGAAACAAAACACAAGAACTGGATATGAGGCCTTTTCTGTTCTGAGCATGTCATTCATAAATGTATTATTATGACGCTAGCAACACCACGGCCGGGAGTTCCATTCCCACAGGAACCACATGTACAAAAAATGTATGCACTCACTGTACTGTAAGCTGCTTTGTATAAAGGTGTCTGCTAAATGGCATACATTCAATAAGTTATTATCATATCTTAGGGGACGCGAGTGGCCTTGAGACATCACTGTGGCATGCTGGGAGAGGCGCTACACAGGGAGAACGACGTTGCCTTGGTGATGGACGGCGAGACGCTGAAGTACGCCCTCAGCTTCGAGGTGCGCCAGTACTTCCTGGACCTGGCCCTATCCTGCAAGGCCGTCATCTGCTGCAGGTAGCCAATCACAGCAAAGGAGCCCTCCATTCAGACAGCTGCTATGAATTACAACTAAAGATGTTACAGTACCATGGTCCAGTACTTTACAAAGGGTTCATAGAAAGTTGATAAGCAGTTTATAGACCAAATCATTGGTTCAAAGATGAGTTATTAATCAGTCATAAACAGCCAAACAATTACTTCAAGTGGTGTGGTCATCTCACGGTTTCAAGGATTCAAAATGACAATCAAGCAATTTCAACCAATGAGAACCCTCCATAAACATAATAAAGTCAGTAGGACAGTACTAACACTGGGGTGTAGAGTAGACAATAAATAGCAGCAAAGTTCATGTAAATGTTACTCCTCCATATAACAACATCTGACAGACAGACGACAGAGTAATGAGACACTATAAACCAGGCCTCTCTAGCCCTGTTCCTGGAGAGATACCCTCCTGTAAGTGTTCACTCCAACCTGTTCCTGGAGAGATACCCTCCTGTAGGTGTTCACTCCAACCTGTTCCTGGAGAGATACCCTCCTGTAGGTGTTCACTCCAACCTGTTCCTGGAGAGCTACCCTCCTGTAGGTGTTCACTCCAACCTGTTCCTGGAGAGCTACCCTCCTGTAGGTGTTCACTCCAACCCTGTTCCTGGAGAGCTACCCTCCTGTAGGTTTTCACTCCAACCCCAGTTGTAACTAACCTGGTTCAGCTTATCAACCAGCTAATTATTAGAATCAGGTGCACTAGATTAGGGTTGGAGTGAAAACCTACAGAAGGGTAGCTCTCCAGGAACAGGGTTGGAGAGCCCTGCTATAAACAATCATATTCAGTCATGATACAATATCACGTGTGTCCCCAGGGTGTCTCCACTGCAGAAGTCGGAGGTGGTGGACCTGGTCAAGAGGCAGGTGAAGGTGATCACCCTGGCCGTCGGTGACGGTGCCAACGACGTGGGCATGATCCAGACGGCTCACGTTGGTGTGGGCATCTCTGGCAACGAGGGCCTGCAGGCCGCCAACTCCTCCGACTACTCCATCGCCCAGGTAACCCGTCTATCCCTTTAACGTAGCATTGCTTCTGAATGTATTTGAGGACCGGTTTTTAGGGGGCGATAATATCATTTATCGCATTATTTAACAAAGGCAAATCGACTGTATGATTACATTTTACATTTACATTTTAGTCATTTAGCAGACGCTCTTATCCAGAGCGACTTACATATTTTTATTTTTATTTTTTTTTTATACTGGCCCCCTGTGGGAATTGAATCTCCACTTCCTCTTCTGTCTCCTCTCTATCACTCTCTCCCTGCGGTTCTCCTCTTCTCTGTACTCTCTGTTCTCCTCTGTGTCTCCCGTGCTGGTCTCCTGCGCACCTGGTTCTACCAGGTCTCTCCTAGTCTCTCGTTCCTGCATGTCATCTGGATTCCTCTTCCTCTCTATGTCTGCTGTCTCTCTCTCTCTTCTCTGTCTCGTCTCTGTCTCTCTCTCTCTTTTCTCTCTCTGTCTCTCTCTCTGTTCGTCTCTCTCTCTCTCTGTCTCTCTCTGTCTGTCTCTCTTCTTCTTCTCCTCCTCTCTTGTCTCTCTCTCTCTCTCTCTCTCTCTTCTCTCTGTCTCTCTCTCTGTCTCTCTCGTTGCTGTCTCTCTGTCTCTCTCTGTCGTCTCTCTCGTTCTTCCTCTGTGCCTCTCGTCTCTCTCTTTCTTCTTCTCTCCGTCTCTCTCCTGTGTCGTCTCTCTGTCTCTCTGTTCTCCTCTTCTGCTCTCCTCTTCTTCTCTGTGTCTTCCTCTCTGTCTCTTCTCTCTGTTCTCTCTGCTCTCTTCTCTCTTCTCTCTCGTTCCTCTTGTCTCTCTGTCTCTGTCTCTCTGTCTGTGCTCTCGTGTCCTCTCCTCTGTTCTCGCTTGTCTGTCTCTGTCTTTCCTCTCTGTGTCTCTGCTCTGTCGTCTCTTCTCTGCTGTCTCTGTGTCGCTCGTGCTCTCTTGTCTGTCTCGTCTCTGTCTCTGTCGTCTCTTCTGCTGTCTCGTATGTGCTTCCTAGGTCTCTCTCAGTCAGGGCTGCTTGTCTACGGCTGCCATGCTCTTCTTCTAGTTTTACGAATTGTTGTCCATGGGCGTGGCTCTCAGAGGTGTCAATGCTCGTACTGTTCTACGCTAGGTGTTCAGGTCTAGGCTCTCATAGGCGCTTCAGTAGGGCTGCTTCAGTAGGGCTGCTTCAGTAGGTCTGCTTCAGTAGGGCTGCTTCAGTAGGGCTGCTTCAGTAGGGCTGCTTCAGTAGGGCTGCTTCAGTAGGTCGTCAGTAGGGCTGCTTCAGTAGGGCTGCTTCAGTAGGGCTGCTTCAGTAGGGCTCCAGTAGGGCTGCTTCAGTAGGGCTGCTTCAGTAGGGCTGCTTCAGTAGGGCTGCTTCAGTAGGGCTGCTTCAGTAGGGCTGCTTCAGTAGGGCTGCTTCAGTAGGGCTGCTTCAGTAGGTCTGCTTCAGTAGGTCTGCTTCAGTAGGGCTGCTTCAGTAGGGCTGCTTCAGTAGGGCTGCACAATTCTGGTAACTTTCACAAAATTCCCAGGTTTTCCAGAAGTCCTGGTTGGAAGATTCCCAGAATTAGGAAGGAATAAGCAGGGAAATCCAAAATCCTCCAACCATGAGTTTTAAATTTGGGATTGGGATTTTGGGAAAACCTGTGAATTTTGAGAAAGTTACCGGAATTATAATAATATGCCATTTAGCAGACGCTTTTATCCAAAGCGACTTACAGTCATGCGTGCATACATTTTTTTGTGTATGGGTGGTCCCGGGGATCGAACCCACTACCTTGGCGTTTCAAGCGCCGTGCTCTACCAGCTGAGCTACAGAGGAATTGTGCAACCCTATGTCATCAACCTGGATATCAGTGCATAATAGAGAAACTCACTCATTCATCCTGTATTTCAGATCTGGTTTGCGATCGTGAACGGATTCTCTGGTCAGATTCTATTCGAACGTTGGTGCATTGGTCTTTATAATGTGGTAAGTGTGTGTACACTCCTTATTCACTCCCTGATTTACCGCTTGGTGCATGTGAATGTATCATTTTTTGTCTATGTATTGTGTGTGTGTGACAGATCTTCACAGCGATGCCTCCTCTGGCCCTGGGTATATTTGAGCGCTGCTGCAGGAAAGAGAACATGCTAAAATACCCAGAACTCTACAAGACCTCCCAGAACGCACTGGGTTTCAACACTAAGGTACACCCTCCACTCCTTAACCCCTGTCTTCATTAATGCCTTGTGTAAAGGAGACGGGGGGGGCCTTACTCATTTATCAATCGTGAGCAGCACGAATTTGGGCGTGTAACGTTCGCATAATCTATTTCACAGTTCAACATTTGGGCATTTACCAAGTTTTCAAAGCTAAACAGATAACCGGACAATGCCTGTACAATAAAAAAATGTGCATAGCGTTAGGGGCTAAAGGTCCATTTGGTATTTGGAGCTAGGCCCTCTTAGTTATGTTTCCCCTGTCCCGCTGCAGGTGTTCTGGGCTCACTGTCTCAACGGCCTCCTCCACTCTGTCATCCTCTTCTGGCTCCCCCTGCAGGCCTTCCAGCACGGTACGCTGTGTGTGTCTGTCCTGTCTGTCTGTCTGTCTGTCTGTCTGTCTCAGTCCGTTCTAGTATTAAGCAGTCCTGCATGTTTGGTTTCTTTATTCCAGACACTGTGTCTTGGAACGGGAAGACTCCAGACTATCTTCTATTAGGAAATATGGTTTACACGGTAGGTTGACTGAATGCCCCCCCCAAAAAAAAGTCTGTTTTGTTTTTGGATAGCCTTCCCAGCTCTCAATGAAATGTCTGAAAACACTTTGGTAAAATTGTCACTGAATTTCGTGTACACACAGTAGCAAGAGTTCAATAGAGATACCTCTGATTTTCCATATCCTCATGAAATGTTGCTTGGTAAAGTGATTTAGCGTTCTCTCTCTTCTTCGTCCCCAGTTTGTGGTGATAACCGTTTGTCTCAAAGCTGGACTGGAGACTTCATCCTGGACACTGGTGGGTTCAATAGGCTTCCCATTTCTGTCATTCAGAATATGGCGATGAGGAAACAGTTGGCAAGTGTGATGTTTACCTGACACTCTCTGGTGCTCCCTCCTCCTCCGTAGTTCAGTCACATAGCCATCTGGGGCAGTGTCTGCCTGTGGGTGTTGTTCTTCTGGCTCTACTCCACCTTGTGGCCAGTTATACCTATTGCACCAGACATGTCTGGGCAGGTAAAGTACTGATCGCTCCATTTCCAACAATATGCATTTGTCGGATAAATATGTTGCACAATTTGCAACAAAGAAGCAAACTTACTATTCACCTGTCGAAAGTTTTAAATGTATTTGTGTGTGTGTGTTGTGTGTGTGTTGTGTGTGTTGTGTGTGTTGTGTGTGTTGTGTGTGTGTGTGTGTGTGTGTGTTTTGTGTGTGTGTGTTGTGTGTGTTGTGTGTGTGTGTGTTGTGTGTGTGTGTGGTGTCACCTCAGGAGTGTTCTGGATGAGTCTCCTCTTCATCCCAGTCACCTCGCTGCTGTTTGACGTGGCGTTCAGAGTGTGAGTCCAGACCTTAAAGCATACAGTACTAGCATCTGAGGAACAACTACCCTTTAAGATAACTTAGATCTCTCTCTCAGGGTGAAGAGGTCTTTCTGGAAGAACCTGGTTGATGAGGTGCAGGAGCTGGAGGCTAATGCTCAGGACCCTGGAGTAGTGGTTCATGGGAAAAGGTGTTTTTATACCGTCTAACTGTATTATTGTGCGTGTGTGCATGCTTTTTGTTTGACATACTTGTGTGTGTGTGTGGTGTGTTTGTCTGATTCTTCTCTGTGTGTGTGCAGCTTGTCAGAGAGAGCTCAGCTCCTGAAGAACACATTTAAGAAGAACAGCATATCGTCAGCGTACAGCACTGAGTCCGTCCCTCAGAACATGCTACGTGAGTCACACACAATTGTCCATCTCTTTGTGTTCCTTCTATGTGTTCATCAGTTGTACTGTAGAACATTAACATCAACAACACCACACTTTCTAAACCCAGAGGCACAACATTGCAAGACTTCCAGAAACGCTTGCGAAACAGAGCAAGCAGACCAAACAGACCAAGCAGACCAAGCAGACCAAACAGACCAAGCAGACCAAGCAGACCAAGCAGACCAAACAGACCAAGCAGACCAAGCAGACCAAACAGACCAAGCAGACCAAGCAGACCAAAGCAGACCAAGCAGACCAAGCAGACCAAACAGACCAAGCAGACCAAGCAGACCAAACAGACCAAGCAGACCAAGCAGACCAAACAGAGCAAGCAGACCAAACAGAGCAAGCAGACCAAACAGACCAAGCAGACCAAACAGACCAAACAGAGCAAGCAGACCAAACAGACCAAGCAGACCAAACAGACCAAACAGACCAAACAGAGCAAGCAGACCAAACAGACCAAACAGAGCAAGCAGACCAAACAGACCAAGCAGGGGTTTGGGATTTGGGATTTGAGAAGTCAATGAGAGAAGTGAAAAATGCTTCCTTAGTTGTTATTTTCTCGAAATCTAAAGGCACAACCTAGATTCGAGCCAATGTCTTAAGTAGTTGAACATGTTATTACTCCAACCACATGAAAGTGACAAACTGACACGTTTTAATTTTCCAAAAAAACAACAACTTTATATCGAAGGAGTGCCTTTGATTTGATGGCCTGCACATGGGATAGATAGACATGTGAAGTCCCGATGTCCCGATGACGTGTTTCTACGCATGAGCTTAGCTAGCCAACGTCGCCATGACATCGCCTACAAGCGTGATCAGGGATTTCTATTGGAGAAGCAGTTTATGTCCATCTTCATACTGTACTGTCTTTGACAACATTTTTGACAAAATTTCCCACAATGCCATTTGTCCCTCCCTCACTGCCCCCATACACACGCAGGCATGGAGGGGGTGAGATTGTCATTGTCACTCGAGGTGTGAAGGTTAGTGAGCCCCTCACAAGGTTGGATCTCAGTGTACGTAATGTAATGTAAGGTAGGTAAACTTCCCTAGAGTCATAGAGCTTTGACCGTGGTTAGGTTAGAATCTTCCCTTTAGTTTGAAAACTTCCCTAGAGTCATAGAGCTTTGACCGTGGTTAGGTTAGAATCTTCCCTTTAGTTTGAAAACTTCCCTAGAGTCATAGAGCTTTGACCGTGGTTAGGTTAGAATCTTCCCTTTAGTTTGAAAACTTCCCTAGAGTCATAGAGCTTTGACAGTGGTTAGGTTAGAATCTTCCCTTTAGTTTGAAAACTTCCCTAGAGTCATAGAGCTTTGACCGTGGTTAGGTTAGAATCTTCCCTTTAGTTTGAAAACTTCCCTAGAGTCATAGAGCTTTGACCGTGGTTAGGTTAGAATCTTCCCTTTAGTTTGAAAACTTCCCTAGAGTCATAGAGCTTTGACCGTGGTTAGGTTAGAATCTTCCCTTTAGTTTGAAAACTTCCCTAGAGTCATAGAGCTTTGACCGTGGTTAGGTTAGAATCTTCCCTTTAGTTTGAAAACTTCCCTAGAGTCATAGAGCTTTGACCGTGGTTAGGTTAGAATCTTCCCTTTAGTTTGAAAACTTCCCTAGAGTCATAGAGCTTTGACCGTGGTTAGGTTAGAATCTTCCCTTTAGTTTGAAAACTTCCCTAGAGTCATAGAGCTTTGACCGTGGTTAGGTTAGAATCTTCCCTTTAGTTTGAAAACTTCCCTAGAGTCATAGAGCTTTGACCGTGGTTAGGTTAGAATCTTCCCTTTAGTTTGAAAACTTCCCTAGAGTCATAGAGCTTTGACCGTGGTTAGGTTAGAATCTTCCCTTTAGTTTGAAAACTTCCCTAGAGTCATAGAGCTTTGACCGTGGTTAGGTTAGAATCTTCCTTTTAGTTTGAAAACTTCCCTAGAGTCATAGAGCTTTGACCGTGGTTAGGTTAGAATCTTCCCTTTAGTTTGAAAACTTCCCTAGAGTCATAGAGCTTTGACCGTGGTTAGGTTAGAATCTTCCCTTTAGTTTGAAAACTTCCCTAGAGTCATAGAGCTTTGACCGTGGTTAGGTTAGAATCTTCCCTTTAGTTTGAAAACTTCCCTAGAGTCATAGACCTTTGACAGTGGTTAGGTTAGAATCTTCCCTTTAGTTTGAAAACTTCCCTAGAGTCATAGAGCTTTGACCGTGGTTAGGTTAGAATCTTCCCTTTAGTTTGAAAACTTCCCTAGAGTCATAGAGCTTTGACCGTGGTTAGGTTAGAATCTTCCCTTTAGTTTGAAAACTTCCCTAGAGTCATAGAGCTTTGACCGTGGTTAGGTTAGAATCTTCCCTTTAGTTTGAAAACTTCCCTAGAGTCATAGAGCTTTGACAGTGGTTAGGTTAGAATCTTCCCTTTAGTTTGAAAACTTCCCTAGAGTCATAGAGCTTTGACCGTGGTTAGGTTAGAATCTTCCCTTTAGTTTGAAAACTTCCCTAGAGTCATAGAGCTTTGACCGTGGTTAGGTTAGAATCTTCCCTTTAGTTTGAAAACTTCCCTAGAGTCATAGAGCTTTGACAGTGGTTAGGTTAGAATCTTCCCTTTAGTTTGAAAACTTCCCTAGAGTCATAGAGCTTTGACAGTGGTTAGGTTAGAATCTTCCCTTTAGTTTGAAAACTTCCCTAGAGTCATAGAGCTTTGACCGTGGTTAGGTTAGAATCTTCCCTTTAGTTTGAAAACTTCCCTAGAGTCATAGAGCTTTGACCGTGGTTAGGTTAGAATCTTCCCTTTAGTTTGAAAACTTCCCTAGAGTCATAGAGCTTTGACCGTGGTTAGGTTAGAATCTTCCCTGTAGATTGAAAGACGGACCTTACTGTAGTCCCCGGGCTAGAATAAAATATATTGTTCTTAATATGAGAATAAACTATTGTGTAGAATATGTATTATGTAGGATAAGTATTGTTTGGGATATACACTATATATACAAAAGTATGTGGACACCCCTTCAAATTAGTGGATTCGGTTATTTCAGCCACACCCGTTGCTGACAGGTGTATAAAATCGAGCACACAGCCATGCAATCTCCAGAGACAAACATTGGCAGTAGAATAGCCTTACTGAAGAGCTCAGTGATTTTCAACGTGGCACCGTCATAGGATGCCACCTTTCCAACAAGTCAGTTTGTCAAATTTCTGCCCTGCTAGAGCTGCCCCGGTCAACTGTAAGTGCTGTTATTGTGAAGTGGAAACGTCTAGGAGCAACAACGGCTCACCCGCGAAGTGGTAGGCAACACAAGCTCACAGAACGGGACCGGCAAGTGCTGAAGCATGTAGCGCGTAAAAATTGTCTATCCTCGGTTGCAACACTCACTACCGAGTTCCAAACTGCCTCTGGAAGCAACGTCAGCACAATAACTGTTCGTCGGGAGCTTCATGAAATGGGTTTCCATGGCCGAGCAGCTGCACACAAGCCTAAGATCACCATGCGCAATGCCAAACGTCGGCTGGAGTGGTGTAAAGCTCACCACCATTGGACTCTGGAGCGGTGGAAACGCGTTCTCTGGAGTGATGAATCACGCTTCACCATCTGGCAGTCCGATGGACAAATCTGGGTTTGGCAGATGCCAGGAGAACGCTACCCCAATGCATAGTGCCAACTGTAAAGTTTGGTGGAGGAGGAATAATGGTCTGGGGCTGTTTTTCATGATTCGGGCTAGGCCCCTTAGTTCCAGTGAAGGGAAATCTTAACGCTACAGCATACAAGATGTGCTTCCAACTTTGTGGCAACAGTTTGGGGAAGGCTCTTTCCTGTTTCAGCATGACAATGCCCCCATGAACAAAGCGAGGTCCATACAGAAATGGTTTGTCGAGATCGGTGTGGAAGAACTTGACTGGCCTGCACAGAGCCCTGACCTGAACCCCATCGAACACCTTTGGAATGAATTGGAACGCCGACTGCGAGCCAGGCCTAATCGGCCAACATCAATGCCCGACTTCACTAATGCTCTTGTGGCTGAATGGAAGCAAGTCCCCGCAGCAATGTTCCAACATCTAGTGGAAAGCCTTCCCAGAAGAGTGGAGGCTGTTATAGCAGCAAAGGGGGGACCAACTCCATATTAATGCCCATGATTTTAGACTGAGATGTTCGACGAGCAGGTGTCCACATACTTTTGGTCATGTAGTGTATATTGGGTAGGTAGCTGCTGGATCCGTCCCCAGTCCTGATCTCTTTCCTAACCGACCCATCCATCACATCCTGTGTTAGAGACATTTCCCTTGACCTAATATTGAGCTTGTTATTATATCTGTAATTTAGTTGTGGGTTGTTGATCTAACTGTCCTGGCTTTGTGCACCTTCAGTTTGTGATAATGTAGTGTGTGCAGTAGTGCTTCGTCTGCAGGGAACAAGCTTTGGTACGGGCTTTGAGTGTGTTTGAGTTGACTGCATCTGTGATGCATTGTGGGTAAATTGTGACAGACTGACTGATCTACAAATAACAATGAGTAGTTACTTATTATGCAAGGTGGTTTGTAGATCAGTCAGTAGGCAGTCGGCTGAACAAGCCCTTTGAGAGGGGGGTGGGGTTATACTTCCTACTAGTTAGTCCAGATTTGAAAACCTCACTAGGTGGCCAGCGTGAGATTTTGTAATGGCGTCTGAGATGAATATAAGTATAATATGCTTGTTTTCCCTTAGACGGCTATGCCTTCTCTCAGGATGAAAACGGAGCGGTGTCACAGTCCGACGTGATCCGGTCGTACGACACCACCAAGCAGAGGCCCGATCAGCCCCAGTGGTGAAGTCTCTCTCCTCCTCAGCGATGCCCTCCTATCACATGCTGCACACAGCCCTCCCTATTGGAGGAGGTTGACAGGAAGTCACCCCACAAAGTGGGCCGGTCAACTTCCTCCAGAAAGTCTGGAGTGAAGGCCCCGTCCAGAAACAACCCCCAAAGCCAGAACCCCCTGAGGAACTTCTGTTGATCTGAGAAGACTGGATAGGTGTCAGCAATATGGGGCGAATTCCACTCAGGGAAAGGTGGGATGTATATCATATTGGTTTTACCTGTCCTATCAGATCTACACAAGAGGAGGTAGGAGGAGGAGCTAAGGGCTGTTTCTGGAGCGCACCGAAGAGAGAAAAAAAACATTTACAGAAAGTGTTTATTCATTTTAAGTTTGTCCCAAGCACTGACTTTTTAATGTGTCTTTGTCCTGAAGACTTGTTTTTATATTTGTCTGTGGAAGAGTTCAATTCTAAGCAACGGGTGGCCTTGGAAAAGGAACGTCTCATATTTTATTTTTGGGTGTGGCGTAAGACCAAACTCAACAAGATGTACATGCCACATAAAGGCCATGTTGGACCAAAATGATCCACAAATCATCCCTAAACCTGAACTGTGTAAGAGAATGGGAAACCCTGTGATGTTGCTTGCCAAAGAGTAATGTGTGTAACCAATGGGCGGGGGCTATGAATGTAGTCCATGATGATTGAATGCCATTTGCACTCGATCATTGCACTCCAGAATGATATCGCATGCGTTACATGTTGTTGACTTGATGATGGGCTTCTCATTTTAAGAATATATCTCTGAAAGATTCTTTGCATTCCATGTTTCTCTCTCCAGTCGATCCATCCCAACAGTGCCTTTCAGAGAGTTTCTCTCATGCAGTAGTGTAATGCTATAGCATGTGTGCATGTTCTTAGTAAAAAAATAAAAAAAATGTATTTCTTTGTCTTTTGCATGGTTTAAAATCCGTCCATGGCTCTTTTCACTGCAATGCAAATATATTCTCACTGACCGAGGAAAAGGAAGTATGCATTAATTGGTTAATTTGAATTTTATCCATGTTGTGTGAGTGTTTGTGACTTGAATAGATCAGAGTATTTTTGGGGAAATGGATACCCATTTACACAGAAATACCACTCAAACTTAATGTCCGTGAAAACTGGATATAGCTTGGTTTTCGTTCAGAGAACAAAAATATTAATGTATTAATGTGTTCTTGTGTTCCTTGAGTCCAAATAAGGAATTCATAATTTAACAAGTTTACTTTTTTAATATTTCATTCTCAGATGCATAAGGGACTACTGAATAAAACCACTGCTACACTAAAATGCAACCTTTCTTCTAGTCTGTGTGGACTTTTCTTGCTCACACTTTTCACTGATATTTAAAACACTATAACGATGAAGTATACGAGCATCCCTCACTCACATATGTTGTATAAGCAGTGTGTGCTGATAGAGTGGGAGGTATGCTGTGCTTGCACAAGATGTGGCATTATCCAACCACATGTTTAGCCCAGAACCTGTACAGAGTAGAGTTTAGTTTAACTTTTATAGTGTGAACATTCATTGTTAGTTTTTCTCAATCGCGTACAAGCATTGAACCAAACAATGTCAATTTTCGAAAACGTTTTTTTTCACAAGACACAGAACTCACTGGCCTTTTGCAAAACAGTGAATTGATTTTTAAACCAAGGCAACAGCAAACATGTCGTCACCCACGAATGATGCAGAGCCCCCCCCTTGGGACAATCAGTATAATTTTGTAAATGGCGGATCTCTACGGCAAGACACATTCACCCAAGATTCATCAAAATCAGGCCAATAGTGTCTGACATATCACGTGGGTTAGCTAGACTCATATCCCTGAGCATGTGTGCCATTTCGTTACTGAGTCAAACAGACCAAGAGATATAAACGTGCCCGTTATAGCGCCACCGTGTGGTCGATAGGAATGTTATATGTTGAGTCTTGACAGTGTTTGCAACACGAGTACCGAATTTTGTTACAATAAGAATATCCTTGACTGATTTATATGCAGTTATGTGCCAGACCACGCCCACGTGAATGCTTATAGGTACTAGTCTGGAAAATATTGCATTGAGAGACCACTGTCCATAGATGCCACATATAAAGTTTTGTGCAGATCGGTCATTCGGTGCCAGAAGAGTAGCGTTTTAAGTGTTTTTCACAAAATTCTAAATGCCTGAATATCCATCATGGGTCCCTGAGGAAAATGTATTCCTTTATGAGTAGAAGGACCTTCGTACTGAATTTCATGACTTAAGGTCAAACGGGGTGAGCGGTGTGACCTTTCAAAGGTAGCATTTTAAATCTCTTGTTATAGCGCCACCGTCTGACCAATCAGTGTAATTTTGTAAATGCCGAATATCTATGGCAAGACGCATCGTTCACATAAGTTTCGTCAAAATCGGGCTGGTGCTGTATGAAATATTGCGTGCGACTAACGTACGAATGTACTGACGGACGGAGACAGATCCACAGTCCCCTCCCCAATTTCATCATTGGGGACACTGAAACGGCCTTCTCAAAACGTTAATAAATTCATCAATACTTAGTCAGTCTTTTACAAAATCCCAGTAGATCACTAGATTTTCTTTGCAGTCACTAAATCATGAAACATTGAAATACAAATATCAAAAGGTGCAGAATTATGGGTAATTACTCTCCTTTTTAAGCATATTTCAACAACAAAAATGTCATACACACGTTGTGTGCAGGATTCATTCACTGGTATCATCATAATCCAATTCCATGTTTTCAGTAGATAGGCTTGTCTGCTCATAGGTTTGTAGACTTTCCATTAAAGCAAAAACACAATCCACAAAATAATTGAAGGAAAGGTGAATACAGTGGAGGAACACAACTGATATGAATGTATAGGCCTCAACACAAACCAAAGCAAAGCTCTGCGATGTTGGAGATGATGACTTAAGACTCAACTTTATTCTTTGCATCTCTGCATTCTCTGCAATGTTGTAAAAAATCTTAGAAATTAGTCAGTTGCTTAGATCTTTCCCTATATTTTACCTGTATCAGGTCTACTGCTGATAAAGCCATTTACAATTTTGTGCAGTAGTATTTACTGACTGCCGGAAACAGTGAACACATTTGCAACCTTTTATCTTCTGATGAAAACAACGTGTTTAGTATTCTGTGAACAAAACACTTGACAGTTAATTTTGTATTAATTGATTGTATTAATTGATTGTATTAGTTGATTGTATTAATTGTATTTAAAGTTTTGCTAAAGGTTTTGCGAAAGTTCAGCCCAGGTACAAAGGCAAGACATTCTGAAAATGTATTTAAAGCATCAGAACATTATTGTGCTGCCATAGGTACATTTAATCACAGTTCCTAAAAATGCTTCTACGCCATTGAGAAAAACTGTAAAGTTTTGAAAAACAATCAACATCCTCCTTTTATCTCCTTCATTGTGCTTCAACAGACATCAGTAACAACACAGTGATGCTCGGATGGAGTTTCTAGGTGTTTTGTTTTTGTTGTATGGCCACCTGTAACGGCAGTGAAAGCTACCCACATCTGGCCTTGAATGTTCAATGGTGTACCCTTAATCCTGGCTACAACTACATCAAGGCTACACCTGGGGACAGAATAGAACTGTCACCAATGTTGACCTTTTGACCTGTACAGGGACCTATCTTGACCCCTGAAAGCTCAGTAGCAGGAGTTTTACACAGGAGACAACAGAAACAGTTTCACGTTTTATTTGTTTTTAACCATTTGCAACTAGATATATGAAACATAGTCCACTGGAAATTCAGCTAAAGTTACAAACATGTTCATAATTCCCTTTTGTTAAAAAATAATGATGAATTTCCTGTTTTTACTAAACTATTTGCACACAGGGATGTTTACTTGGTAACTTCATTGCTATTTAAGCTTCTACACCCAAAATATGTTCATTATTATTTTATTAAAATGAAGGCACTGGTAAAGGATTAAAGAATAATCTAACATGGTGGTAAACAAAAGTAAGTATCCAAGCTGTAACAACTAAAACATCGTTGACCAGTGTTTCCCTGGATTTGATGGCAATGTCGCAGAGGGACCTAAAAAATGTTTTGTAGAACGAAGGTCCGTTCTGGTGACTTTTTCAAAAGGACATTCTACTCCAAAATGAATGAAAATACAATTATTCTGACACCATCTAATATATAAATACCCCCTCCAGAAATTTGCCAATAACATATTGGTCCATATTATCAAGCAGGTGTGCTATTTATCAATAACAAGTATTACCTGTAGCCCAACTGATGCAGCATAGTGGCTATATCATTAGCTAGGTCACAAACTATAAACCTTATCTTATTGCTAGTTAGCAACATATTGATGAATTGAATGTCCCCAAAAAATGTTCCACTGGCACTCAGTCAAGTTACATTTAGCATCGGTCTCCGCTATGCATTCAACGCCATTGGTGAGCGCTAAAACAGCTAATCCATGCTGCGGCTAAAAACTCAGGTTTTAAAAGTGTGTATTTCGCAGTTGAGAAATAAATGTAAAAGCACTAGAAAGCTGTGATCCTCCTCTTTTAACAGTAGCCATCAACGCTGAATGTTGTGTAATGACTGGGCATGCATGTTTCTCTCCTTGTGGCACTCAGTTTGAAAGCGCCTCAAGATAAATATTATTTTCTCACATAGAATGTGACAAGCTGACCAATTGAATAGGTGAACTATTCTACTATGGGGTTGTCTGATTTTGCAGTTGATTACTTGTGTTGTTGGAAAAATTAATGTGGACCAAAGAAATTCATTATAATTCAAAATTCGCTAAACCAAAGCTGCAAGGGCTCAACTCCGCCTGGCTCTCATTAGGTTCATAGGCGCCAGGTTTCAGATCTGTCTGGACCAGGCCCAATGTTACACATGTGTGTCAGCTCCACTTCTTCTCTGTGTCTTGAAAATCATAGCTATTATGACACCTGCCATTACGACAACTCCTACAAGAATTAATGATATTCCAATAGCATGTCCCACTGTTCCCCCTACAAAACCTAATATAGACCCCCCTACTATGATTAACAGAATTGCAAAAGCCAATAACAAACGGAACATTATCTTTCTTCTCCCCTTCTCTTCCCCCTGCCTTCTTATTCTTTGCTCTATCATTCTTTCCTGCTCCTGCTTCTGCCTTTCTTCCTCAGCTCTCCTCATCTCCTCCTCCTCTCTGATCTTTTCCTGAGCCTTCTTGTACATCTCATTGGTG